TAATCTAGTACAAGAATGATGTTAATTCTGGATATAAAACAATCATTTAAAGCTAATTCAAAACAGGCTAAGACATATACGAAAAACTGAGCCTGTAACACTTATCTAGTGCTGCATCTTTAGCTGCCATGATTACCTAGCTGCCTGTAAATTACAGCTTCACCTGTCAGTTGGAGAGCCTTTGGAGGCTTACAGTGAGTGTTTAAAGAACACCTTCTCAGAGAAAATGCTGGCACTTTTCAGTTGGAGCTAGACAGTCCAGCTGAAAGTCAAACAGATAAATGTGTTATTTATGTTTTAAAGTTTTGACTCAATAAATTCCAAAGCTGGATCACAACATTGTCAGTAGATAAATTCTGCGACATAAAGGAATGTGTGGGCATTGATTCATTTTTGTGTTTCCAACTGCCATGTCCCATAATTGATATAAATGAACAACATTTGCTGTCAGAAATTCACCCCAATGATGTACATACAAAAAAAAGAACATCTCTGGTCAATTGCACACGTTCACTACAATACTGAGAGCCTATGACTTCTTGTTTATATTAGCTGCCCTGTAGTACTGAGGTGGCAAAACGCATGCATCTCAGATTCTTAAGTGAACGAATGGGTCATTGAGACACCGATTCTAAACAGACTTGAATGAAATGAATAGGAGTTGACTAAGCTGTGATCCAGCACCCACTGTGTTGCTATAGACACTCTGCAAAACACAAGGTCTGGGATTGAATCAGTGCTCTTGCTAGGTCACCGAGTACAGACAGTCGACTTCCCTGAAGACCACGTAGGTGTCCGTTTCCCCCTCAAAAGACGTCATCCCCAATGAGTTTAGAAACCACAGACTAGCAAGATCAGATGTCAAGGGGTCAAGCTGTAACCATCAACCAGCCTCATACATCTCCCTAAAATATTTCTGACAGAGCATTTACCGATTTACTGCTATAGTGACTATTAGTGATATCTCAGAGATTCTCTAAGCTAATATCAGACTCCAACGTCTGAGGAAAGAGGCTCCATAGATCTAGGCCTTCATGGTATACAAACTGACAGGCAGGAATTGAATTACGGATCAGGACCTCTCCCTTTTGGCAGCGGAGCTCTGTTTCCTTTAATTATCACAACAGACCACCAACAGTGTGGCCAAGACGGAGAAGCTCATCATTTCTAGAGCTGTGATTTATAAGCCCCTCTGCGAATCAAGGCCACTGCACAGCATGGCTTTTGGTGTACGTACATAAAAACCCATAAAACGGTGCGTATAGTGTTTTGACAGATGTACATCAAACGCGACCGTGACCCGTGCCGAGGGCTTCACATCAGCAACCAGGAGAGACAGGTGGCGTTTGTGTGGCTGATTTGGATGGATAGTGTCTATGCGACATAGGCCTAGATAACACACGGCTAAATAAAGCGCTCTTATGAATAGAAAAACGCACATGTGTAGGGAGGGGAGGGTCTGTGGGGGGAATCAGCGTAAGATATTTTTGTGGGACGGTTTTATTTTCTGACAGGGGTGATGGCGATGGATCACTGGCCCAAACACAAGTGTGGGGGAGATATGAACTGCACGGCCAAGCATTTGTTTAGTGGTACATGTGCTGTTTGTATCCATGGCAACGGCACCATGGCCATGTCCCCCCGATTGCTAGATTGAGTCGCCACTGCTGGCAATTATGGGATATTTTAAATGATTTGTTGAGTTTTTGTTTTCTGCTTTGATGCTGAAAACAAGATGTGAGTCATTCTGTGTGGTCTGTGGCATCATAAAAAAATTAGATTGGAGGACCAGTTTAGTAGAATAGCTCAAAGCTGCTGTTTTAGGCTTTGCAGTTTCACAGCGGTGAAAAAACGGTTGATTTGGCTCAAATCGAATGAATTAACTGTCTGAGCAATCTTATTCTAATGGCACTTTGACCTGTCTTGTACACGAAATGTGCTATGCAAATAAACTTGCCTTGCCGAAAAGATTAGATTAGACTATCACAACAGGGGTTCTTCCATAAAGTATGGAGAGTACCATCCCATCCTTCAGGAAGAACCTGATCAGAATCAAAGGAATGGATGTTTTAGTACCAGCTAAGTTCAAATATCAAAGCAACTACTGGCTCCTGTACTTAGTAACCGTACCATTGTGTGTTGTTAAATCAAATCAAGACAACTATTCAAAGGTTACATATCATTACAAATATCTTTAAATTATAAAGCAGGGCCACTGTATCAAATATCTTAAGCTCACATATTTTGTATCACTGCCAAATTACTAGGAATCTTGTCAATTGATTTCAGAATGTGAAAAAATATGGATCATATTTGGGTTTAAACATTTGTTTTTTTAATGTTTGCGTTGTCAGCAGACAGGCCTACATGCCTGTCACTGCTGAAGTAAAGTTAGCTTATGGGACGGGCCACTCCATGAGCAGCTCTGTCTGCAGCTTTTCCTGTAGGTTTGTATTTCACAATGTTGCCCTGATTTAGCTGTGACCGGCAAAATGAAATCAGCACTACAGGCAAATAGATATCTTGATGCTAAAAATACAAGTGACCGACTATTTCTGTGGTCTGACTGTAATATCATATTGCATGGCACATCGATCGTGGCCGAGCATGATGTGCCCGCTCAGGTATTCTCAGTCTTAATAAAGCTCACTGATGCTATTTTGGAGGCATTATTATTATTGAGAATATGTTTTGAATATACTTCAAACACCCACTTTCATTCTTTATTTATTAACCTGCACACAGAGCTTTTCTTTTTAAACCGAGAGGTAATACAACCCTCTAGGTTGAAAAAAAAGATTTGCTCTGCTGCTGAGAAGGAAGACAAAGGCAAGGTCAAGTGTTACTGAGATACAGAATAACACCGTCACCTCGTGTGTTAGCTGTAGAGAGCCATAATGTACAATTCCTGTATTTTTTCACTTTTTTAGAAATCTATAGTTTTTTCTAGATTTCCCTTTTCATTTACAGAATGTTATGTACAAAAACAATATTTCTGTCTCTTTTATGAAAAAAAAATATGGCAGCCACTGCTGCCACCTACAGGAAGATCAGCACAAAGCAAGCGCTGCATCTCATTCATAAGCAGTTCAAATTCTCATGCACAGAAATAACATTTGTTTTATATATCTTTTTAATTTTTCTTAATGGAATGCGAGCAAAACTATTCTCCTTTTGTTTTGTTTTTAGGATTTTCTCAAACATTGAAAAAAAAAAAAAGACAGTTTGCTATTTCAGGGTTCACATAAGTATATCATGGACATGAGTGTGTCCAGCTGCCATCTGCTGGACATACTCACACTCAGCATGGGGAACATAAAGAATAAAATAACAAAAAAATAGCAAAAAAAATGCCATGCTATTGAATGTAACATTCTTTAATAAATTCCAATCAAAATATGCATTCATCATAAAAATTTATTTTTTTTCTTGTTAAACGCATTGGTACCTGAGAAAGTGTACACACCCACTCAAACATCCTCTACTTTCTGTTCATCAGAAAGTAACTGAACGCATCACATCTGAATGAGAAATCTGCTGCTTTTCTTTAATATTTCACAGATTTCTATCCTTCTAGATCTTACTGGCAACACAAATCAATGTATACGTTCATGGTGTCTTTTAAACATTACAAGTATATATCTGTAAAGCTAAAATTTTAACAAAATCTCAAAAGGTTCCAGGTTTCTAAACAGTCATTTAGAACACGTCTTTATTATGACGTTGCTTTTCCTCCAAGCTTTGTACTTTTGCGTGTCCTCAGAACATATTTCAATTATACACATATCATTGACTTGAATGAGCAACCACAGTGTAAAAACGGTATAAAGTTTGCTTGAGCAGCTCCTTCTTGTAAAGAATGCGGATCAAATAGGAAACAATGTTCAGTTAAATGCATCAAGCTTTTGGGGGGTGAATTTACTGATGACAATATTTTATCAATAATACATTTATGTTACATTTACAAATGATGAATTTGATCCTTCTTTTAATAAGAGAATGGATATAAAGTTCCTGTCTGAATATAAAACAAATGCAAAAACTCTCAAAAACCCAATAAATACTGATAATGGGGGGGGTCAAAAGTAGAATTTTATTCAATAAACTTTGCAAATTATAAATAAATTACAAAAAGTTCAAACCACCCAAAAATTACATTTGTAATACTTTCTCATGTCAACGTAAAAAAATCTGAGGCATCGTTTTTTAGGTTCGAGCTCCACACGACTGCGTTCGTACAATCCAAGTCCATCTGAAAAAAGCACCGGCAGTACACAAAACTGCCATAGCTCACAAAAGAGCATTTACATACCAGACTGTGCTGAAGTGAGCCATTAATACCACTGTGCCCTCCATCATTATGCCAGAACCACAAATCTGAAACAATACGGTCTGATCTTTGCAGGTTCAATATGGCCCTGACTGAGTTGCAGGAGTTCAACAGAACTTAAATTTGATCCCCGTTGGCGCTTATAGGTCCAGTATCTTTTGAGCTTTAGGGACGTGAAACCTTTGAGTCCGCCATCATTGACAGAGCTTTCAGATAATCTGACTGGAGGGGATCTAGCACTTTAAGAAGCAGGAATCCACACGCAGTCAGATAGATCATGAAAAGATAAATGCTTGTTAAAAATGTTGCACTGAATTGTAGAGGGGTGTGGTATTACCTTTAAAACAGGAACTATAAATGTGGCAGCTGGATATAAATATATTCTATCATTTGACTAATTACATTTGTATGCAATTGATATATTTTTTCATTAAATCCATTTCTTGCATACCTAAATCATTCAAAAAGTGCCTGCCAGTGACATTACCAACTAGTAGAAGGACACGTCTGAGTTTTAAACCAAGAAAAAAATGAAATCCTTTCCCCTTTGTTCAAAATAAATAATAAATCCACTGAGAAAGCTACCATTTAAATAAAAGCACACTCACATGAATGCATCAATGCAATGTTTTTACTCCTTTTCTGTGGTTCCAGAAGTCCTGATATCACATTAATTGGAGGATCGCACTTTCCTGCCTTTTAGGGGTTGTGGAGGTCTGAAGTTGTTTTCCATGCGCATCCTCTCATCTTCATCTTCTCCAGAGAACAGAAGCATTCTGAATTTCCCTAGCTATGTTAGGAGACACAGAATAACACAGTTCTGCTGAGACAGGTTTTACTGTCTTAACACCACAATAGTCTGTGACCAAACTGGTCAAGAACAGTGTATGACAAAGCAAAGCAACCCCTCCAAAATCTGCAGAGGGAGCAAAAGACCAGAGTAATGCAGAATAAGTTTTTCAGCCTCAGAGACGGGGAGACCACAGCAGAAAGACGAGTGGTCCAAAAAGTGGCACCTCATTAGGATGTTTTTTTTGTTCGTTTGTTTTTTTAATGACTTCATTGCTATGATGCTAACTTAAAAATGTTTCTCTTCCAACAGGGAGTGGTTCGCATTTGAAATGTATGTCAAAAGAAATTAGGAATAATAAATGTTGTTTTTTTGACAAAAAAAATAGTTAGATAAAGTACCAATGTTTACATTTTCATTCCGTGTACCATTAAGGGAAACACTAAACTATATGGCTTGTTCTTTAAGAAAAGGTCAAATCCCCCCTACACACACATTAAAAATAAATAATTTTTTTTTTTTTAAATCACATTTCCCTGTAATAATAATTCCCCGTTACATAAAGATTGTTCCCTGCTGCATTTCCATGCAAGCATTTCTCAATTAAAGCCCTGTGCCCATCCTGTCATCCATCCATCAGGATAATCAGATCGAGGGGATCAAAGGCTTGTCGCTTGGAGTCATAGTTTGTGGGGCCAGTTGCTCAAATTGCACCTCATATCCAGCATTGCCACAGATTTACAGACAACCAGACCATAAGAGATCAGAAAAGAGGGAGTGTATAATCCAGAGGCTGGCAGCACTGGCCGCGGGACCAGCCCACCGGGGGACCGGGCCTGGACATGCTGCAGATGGCCAGAGTGTCAGCTTAACTTGTCAACAACCTAGGGTTATTGGACTTGAACTTTTTTGATTAAATCCAGTGCTCAGGGGGCTGGATCAAACAACTTTCCCCAACCGTGACATCCTCCGTAAGTGATGAATATGTAAAAATGACATAAAGCCCAATTTTAACCCCCTTTTGTCTGAGAACAATAGGAGGCTGCAAACCCTTGAAGCCAAACGGAACATTCCTGACACTAAGCAGGCCAGGAGACATGGATGTTACAGGTGATGGAGCATCAGTGCCTTAAGCTGCACTGCCTGGCATGCAGAAATAGTTTAAAAACTAAACGCTATCAGTGAGGCCACACTACTGCAGATCAAAATGACCGGCAAATTTTCACCAGGAAATTGTGGGCAACATTGGCATAACATAAAGCAGTTTTGAAATCAAACAAATTGCTAAAGCTTTTGTAGAATAAATAATAACAGGCCATCGGGTTTAGTAAAATAACAATAACATCTGTGCCAAGCAGGTTTCCTACGTATGGATTGCAGTCAACACAGCTGAACTAAATGTGTCTTTTTTGTGTTGTTGTGCCTCACGACTTAAAAAAATATGCACCATCTACAAATAAATACATGTGACCTAATATATGACATTTCAGGTGGTTCACTCACCTGCTTTTCAGACACTGTAATTGGCTCCTTCAGGATGATCCAGGTGACAGTCTCGTGTAAAGGAGGAGTGGTCAGTGACCCCAGGTAGGTCCAGTAATGGAGGCTGCTGGGTAGGAGGCACTTGGGGTTGAATCCCTTGAAGTCTGTGATACTGCCCTGTAGTGAATAACAAAAGGTAGATTATTTTAGTGCAAGGCAGTCATGAAAAGAGTTGATAAATGTGATCTGCTTGGAATTCAAATGTAGCACTCACCTTATATTTCACCATGTATAATGTGTCTGTTATCATGTGGAGCCATCGGTGGTCATCACCTGTCTGACATCACAGATCGGGTTACTTTTTATTTGATTTGTCCGTTTTGGAAAAAGGTCACAAATGCACACATCGACCTGCCCGAATTACACGGTCAAGCAAAATACAAGGAGGGGGATAAAATGGTCGAAAAATTACTTACTTCCAGGAAAATTCCAAGAACGGCGAGGCCATCGGGAGCAGTTGCTGCCTCCCCAAAGGTCTTATATTTGACAGCATTCCAGTGAACTAAATGAAGCTAAAGAGAAGAATAGATCAAGAATAAAAAAATTATAAAACTAGGAAGTTTAATTAACCTAAATTCCAAAATATATTTGTGGTAAAATGTCCATTCTACTCTCTTAAATAAAAATCAAATCCTATTTTTCAGCATTAGACATGAATTTGAATTTCATAGGAAAATTACACAAATTTGCCTGTTTAGTTATCAGGCACTGACACACCAAAATATTCTAAACCAAAGAAAGACCTCTGATGCATAGCCAATTCCATCAATGGTGTGCTCGGAGCCATTGGATCCCTTTCCTCCCCAGTGGAAGTGAAACTGTTTCAGTCTGTAGGGGTTGTCAAGAGGGCCTCCCTCAATCACTGTTTGTAAAGAAAAAGAACGTTTTGAGATTTTGAAGTCTCATCCATGCATAAATCATGAAAAACAACAGAAACAAAAAAATCCCTAACTTGGTTTCCCCTGTACAGAAAAGACAAGATCAATCAGCCTGTCATCACCTAGCCAGCTTGATCAGATTTCTAATTCGAAGTGGAAATGTGAGCAGACACAAACCTAACCAGCAATCACTCGTACCGGAGCTTTAAAAGCATGCTTTAGCTTGAGAGGCAAACAAATATGTAGAATTTTATCAGTCACTTACATCTGGGTCTAATAAATGCCTAGGCCTCATCAACTGTATGTGCAAAGAGGCTTAATGAGGAAGATAATTTAGTTTAAAAAAATTAAGCACTTAATTATGTAATTAATTGGAATGAATCCTTCACAGCTTTACTTAAAGAGCTCAGCTCTAATTTCTTATCTGGTGTCAGTTTACCCCTCCTTCCCCATCCAATGTGCTCATAACATTACTTCAGAGAGAATTTCTCTCAGTGTATCACAGCAAAGAGTGTGGGCTCTAAATAAATCTGAGTTAGCCATTACAAACTTATATTTTTCCTACTCATTTTCCTTCCAAAAATAATGACATAGACGATACTCACAACCTGCAATAACCAGCAGGTTTACAGAATCCTCGGCTCTTGTTTTTAAATATGTAGTAATGCTTCAGAGGTTGCGCATATTTAAGACTAGATTGCTCATAGAGGTGGCGGAGCAGGTAATATGGATCCACCCTGTGATGGAGAATAATACTGTCAAAATAACCTCTGAGATCATCTGCAAGTGATTATATCTTTTGTCCAGCAGACAGACACTTATGCAGATAAGTGTTGGATACACTTTTCCAAAACATAATCAGAGGTTTACTTGGAGCCTTTTATTATGGTCAGCTATGCACATGGTTTGAACTTTTCCCCCCAAAAAACGAAGTAGAACTCAAGTTAAACCTACTTTTTATATTTCAACCAGAGGTTTTTGCTCTGTGTGGCTGGCAGTAGATATGCAATCAACTCTAAAAATCGGACCTTTGTAAAAAGTTTGAAGGGTGTCAGTAATCATTTAATGCTTTCAGTAAACATCGTCCCTTTAATGGCACACTACCAAGAATAGCCTTCATTTTCCTTTAACTGCATTTTCTCATGAACAAAACTGCTCTACTCAGCTTGTACAGTTCTAAATCTATACCAATCTCAAAAGATTTGAAAAGTTTGGCGGGTTTTTACGGATTTTCTTTTTTTCTTTGAAATACAAAATCTGAGGCCAAAGTCACAGCAAAACGCAAATCAAGACACATTTTTCCTCACCTGAGCGGTTATCTGAGTCATCGAACTCCACAACTACAGAGTGGCCGTTATTGGAGATATTAATGGAGGTACACTGATCATAGCTCAGGACAATCGGACCCAGACTGGGTTCATGGACCGCCTGATGAGGGGTGATGTCAATTGGAGATTGGCGGTTTCCCTGAGCAACAGGGTAGTTTTCATACCAGGATGAAGGACCTTTAAAAGTAAAATAAATAATAGAAACAGATACAAAGTTAGGCATGTTCACAAGACAGCAAAAAAAAGGAGAGAAAAACTGTTGAATTTTACTGAGAAGTAGGTCTATCAAAAGATAGTTAAACATCTGACCATGAACAGCTAATGTTTTGGTAAACATTTTGTCCCTTTAGCAACGGTCACAAAATTTACAGAAGGGATTTTTTTTTAAACATATTCAAAATTAATATATATTACGACAAAAAGAAAGTGACAAAGTAGAAAAACAAAGCGTTTGGAACAAAAAAAAATTAAAAACAGATAGTTTAAACTGTTCCCCTGAGCAGCCCGGGTCAAGCCCTCGGGAGGACTCCCAGGTTAACGTGATAACCGTCATCCCTTCGCCCGTGGAGCTAATCTCGCATTAACAGCCATTTTAACGTTTACTCTCGTGTTTACACGCAGCTGCCGACAAAATTTGCGTCCGGCACGTGAGAAACCCGACAAACGCAATCAAACGCCGGACTGACTGATGGAGAAACCTCACCGTCTTGCTTCCCGTATCCCCAGCAGTGTCCTGTCATCGTCCCTGTTCGCAGATCGACTCGGACTCAAACTGCCTCTGAGGACTCCGGCGCGCACGTGAAGGGCGGCAAGAGAGATTAGCCGGTACCTTGAGTGATGTTGATCCGCAGCTGAGAGGAAAGGACAGTTATCCCTGTTTGGCACGCCTCCTCACACCCACACACACACCTACCCAGCCTCCTGTCATCACATTAGAGAGCATATTATCCAGAACAACGACGGTGGGCTTCAATGAAGGCTCTGTCTCCGTCTGAACGTCATCTTGTACCGGTTTTGTGGTGTAGAGTGGCCCATGCAAATTGAATCAACTCATGAATAAAGGCTACAGGACTAAAGAATAGAGCCTATACAAATGGTCTTTCAGGATCAGTAAAGTATCCATTCATCTCTCACTGTAAGGTTTTTTTTTATTGTGTTATATTACAGTGAATGCTTCATTCCTAATTATTTTTCATGAAAATTGTTTTATATTTCCACTTCTACTTCTGACAGGGTCAAAATAACTGAAAGATATTCTATATGTGTTTATTATATGTATTTGAGTGTGATTGTGAACTTGTTCTCCATCAAGCTGTGAACTTTGTGATGTGTGTTGTTATTTTTTGTAACATGTGCACAGGGCTTATGCATTATCACTTGCTAAACATATTGCTTTGTTTCTGCCAATATCAGGTGGGTGTATATTTTCATAAATGTGTACAGTTATGCACATGGACAAGTGTATGTTTGTGGTAGTTATACTTGTTTTTCTGCCTTTTTTACTACACGTATTGAAATCTGAAACATAGTTGAAAATGCTTTTTAATTAATCCAGTATTAAATCTAAAAAAGTAAGTTAAATGTTTCTAAATCTTTCAAAGAATATCAAAACTTCACTCACAGAGGCTCTAGCTAAGTTACTCGTCAAACAAAAATCTGATTTAGGTTCTTTCATTAAACTTTAATTAAAGCATATATAGCCTACATTTGATTATTTTTCGCCCCCATAAACGTGGTAAAAGTTCATTTTGGACATTATTTTTTAACGAAAGTGCGTCTGTCGACTTTCACTACGTTTGTGTCGAATCCGGCGATCCGGATGTAACTCTACGTCCATGAACGTAACCCATTGGAAAGGTACCATGGCAGCCACCAAAGCCTCCAAGGAACAAAAATACGACCGGCAGCTCAGGTAAGTTTACAAGTTCACCAGTTGCCAAAGAGATATTTGATTATTTGAGCTGTTTAAAATATTTCATATTCTTGGTGACGGCAGGGACGTTTACGAGGCCTGCGTGCTACTGTCAGCTAGCATTAGCTCACTGCTGTTTATTTATGCATAAGCTTCGTTAGCTTTCAGCTTGATATGATGTCTGTCTTTGAGTTCATGCTTTTGTTTTCAACTGAATTTTCAGCGTCTGAATTATTAGCTGTCACGATAGCATAGACCACAATAGCTTCAATTGTTTCATTGTTTCCGTGGGTGCTATCAAACCTGTTAAATCGTTTTTCGTGTCCTGACACCGGCTAATAGTTTGATAGTTGGATTATTGAAACGCGCCCCTTTATGGTTCATGCTTTCAGACTGTGGGGTGACCATGGTCAGGAAGCACTGGAAAATGCACATGTATGTCTCATCAACGCCACAGCAACAGGAACAGAGATACTGAAGAACCTTGTGCTTCCAGGTAGGTCGATTGGGCTAAGTGTTGGTGATGGGGATGCAAACATCTGTTTAGTCACATCAACTAATCTGTTTGATAGGAATTGGAGCATTCACCATAGTTGATGGACACACGGTGTCGGGAGAAGATGCAGGAAACAAGTGAGACCGTTTTTTCCACAAATGAAAATCTTTTCATTTGACTATTTGATTGATTTTCAATGATTAACTGTGCAAGTGTGATGGCAGCTGACATCTTGATCCCATTTTGCAGTTTTTTCCTGAGCAACAGCAGCATTGGAAAGGTAGTTATTACCGGAATTATTTCTATCCAATTTATGATGCCTCATGTCTGTCTCTTTTGCTTTTCTGCACAGTTACGCTATTATGCTGATTCTGCTTTTTGCCTTTTGCAGAACAGAGCGCAGGCTACCACCGAACTCCTGCAAGAACTGAACAGTGACGTATCAGGAAACTTTGTCGAGGAGGTTGGTATTTCATGTCTTTTGACCTACTGTAGCAGATGTGTGGACAAGATTGATTAATATTAATAATAATTCTTTACCTTTTCTTCTCTCACAGAGTCCAGACAAGCTACTGGACAACGATCCAGAGTTTTTCCACAGGTTTACCATTGTAATTGGTGTCCAGTTGCCAGAAAGGTATACGAGAACTGTTAGTCGATCTGCCTATTTGCTTTTCCTGAGGCTGTTGTGATTCCTACATCACTTGTGTGATTATCCCTTATTGTTCAACAGCACGTGTTTGCGGCTCGGCTCGGTTCTTTGGAATGCCTCTGTACCTTTCCTCATCTGTAAAACATATGGCCTCATAGGCTACATGCGACTTGTGGTTCAAGAGCACACAGGTTAGAGCTTTGCCTTATTTAACATCATAATTTTAAACAACATAATGATTATCCGCATTATTGCATCATCTATTCTGACCGGCATGTTTTGCTGTCTCCCTGTTAAGTGATTGAATCTCATCCGGACAACGCTCTGGAGGACCTTAGATTAGATCAGCCTTTTGAAGAATTTAAGAACCACCTTGAGTTGTACGACCTTGACGGCATGGAAAAAAAGGTGTGTTTTTCATTTAGGCATGCCAGTCAGTTCTTTACAAGAACTCAAGCTGTACAAATTTTAGAGTTTTACTGTTCATTTTCTGTTTAATCTGTAGGATCACAGTCACACACCGTGGATAATCATTGTTGCTAAACAATTGGAGAAATGGCTCAATGAGGTATGAACACTTCAGGCTATTAAAAAAATACAAATTAATAGCCAGATGTTTCCCTTTCTGGACACTTCTGGGTATCCGCTGCTTGTATTTATTTGTGAACGTGATTATTCAGGAATGATTTTATTGTTTTATTTTTTCCTGTCATTTCAGCACAACTGTCAGCCACCAAAGAATTACAAGGAGAAAGAGGCCTTCAGACAATTTATTCGGGAAGGTATTTGGATTCCTCTGGATCACATGTGCTTTTAAATCCATCGAGTTGGCCTTTTCCTTTTTTTCAATTGATTAAAAAAAAAAAAAAAAAGATTATATTTTTTATCTTTTCACTTTTTCCCACTTTTAGGGATCATGAAGAATGAGACTGGTGCCCCAGAAGATGAGGAAAACTTTGAGGAGGCTATAAAGAATGTGAATACTGCTTTAAACCCAACCAAGGTACCGGCTGTCATCATCTTGTTGATTATTTGGAGTAATCTTCTTTATCAACTTTCAAAGGCAATCTGATGTTCCTCCTGTAATGTCTCCTGCAGATTCCAGGCGCTGTTGAGGACCTCTTCAATAGTGAGCAGTGTGACAACATCACAGCACAGGTTTTTGTTTGATTTCTTTATTTTTTTCTTCACAGTTATGATGAACATATTTTCATATGGTGTGTTTTCTAACACATTCAGTTTGACCTCGTGTGTTTGCAGAGCTCCCCGTTCTGGGTGATGATGCGAGCTGTGAAGGAGTTTGTTCACAGTGATGGCAACGGAAGCCTCCCTTTGAGAGGAACCATCCCAGATATGATCGCAGACTCTCAGAAGTTCATCAGCCTTCAAAATGTGTGAGTAGGAAATGTATGGTCGATTTTGGAGTTTGTGTATTTTTTTAAATGATTTTTTTTAATGATTCAGCCAGAACCGATAATGGTCCGATAATGGTTTGTTGTTGTACAGTTACAGGGAAAAGGCCATGCAGGATGCAGCAGCTGTTACCAAGCACATAGAATGTCTCCTGCAGTCAATTGGAAAGGTGTGTGTGTCAAGCAGAAAGGATATAGCCGCACTACCCCAAGATAATTTCGATATCTAGAAAAAAAATTATAAACTACACAGATCAATCTAAAATAATCTGTATATTACTCAGCTGAATGAATGTGAAAACCAAATTTCATCAAGTTAGGACATTTAAGTCAATGTCCAACTTTGATGGGGAAAAAGTCACTCCATTTGATTACATTTTGACTAATTTATTTTTAAATAGCTCTCACTCACAAAAAGTCAATTCAAAGTACAGATTTCGTCTAATTCTGTCCAATTAAAACGAATAATTTAAGAAGTAATCAAAACTAAAAAAATGTCCACTCAGGTAATGCTATTCCATTTAGATGTTCTGTATGTGGGTTCAAATGTGTGCATCTGATCCTGTATCTGAACATGGATTTTCACATCATGATGTCTGTCCTCTTTTACCAGCCAGCAGAGAGCATCTCAGAGAAGGACATCAAGTTATTCTGTAAGCATCCCATTTTTTTGTTGCATTTCCAATATGTTTATTTTTGTCTTTTTTGTAATAACTGGTGAGTGTATATTTACACAGATTTACAGTTATCGGAATGTTTTTTTTTGTGGTCAAGATTGAACTTATTCAAATGATTCATGGTGCTTCTTGTATGGCACATGTGAATTTAGTGTGGTGGGCTGTGTACAGACATGGTATATTTATTTATAAAGAATAATTTTTAAAAACATGGCTCTCATATTTGTAAGCGTTTATTAGCAAAGGCATTCCGTTGTAAAAGCTTTCTGTTTAGCTTTTTACTATGTACAGACTGAATGAAACTGTACATTAAAAGTGAGATATTTTCATTGATACTGCAGTTAATAAGTAACTAGTGGAATTCTAGCTAACTGTAGGAATGTGTGTAGGTAAGAATGCGTCCTTCCTGCGGGTGGTGCGCTGCAGGTCACTGGCAGACGAATATAATGTGGATTCTGTAAATAAAGATGAAATCAGTAAGTTGTCATTTTTATTTAACATGTTATGTTCTGCTATGGTATGAGTGTTATGCTATGTATATGACACATTCACCTTGTAATCATATTATTTTCTTCTCAGCTTCATGTATGGACAATCCAGACAGCGAGATGGTCTTCTACCTCATGCTTCGTGCTGTTGATCGCTTCTACCAGCAGCACTCCCGCTACCCAGGTAGGAAACGTTTATCTGAGAAAGACCTGAACCGAACAAGTTGTAAAAATAGTTATTTAGGTTTTGATTGAGCTGAAGATTTTTTTGCACCTTGGAGGTTTGTTGCTGGGTCGCCTGACTTTAAAAACAAACGAAAAGTTACGGTTCATAAATGTTAACAAGTGGAATATCCGTGCCAATGTGGTCACAGCAATAACAAAAGCAAAACAATGTTCTTTTACCACAGGAGTGTACAATTACCAGGTGGAAGAGGACATCGGCAAACTGAAACTGTGCGTGAACTGCCTGCTGCAGGAGTACAGCCTCAGTGTCAGCATCAAAGATGATTACGTCCACGAGTTGTAAGTCCGGGCCACTGCTGGGTCAGCTGCCTAGAGGGGACTTCAGACACAGTCACCTAACTTGTATCTGTTTCCTCCCTGCAGCTGTCGCTATGGTGCAGCAGAGCCACACACAGTCTCCGCATTTTTAGGAGGTAAACAAGTCATGCTCCCTGATGATTCTTTGATACATCAAACCTTTAAAAAAAAAAAGAACACCCTGCTAAAGAAATACCTCTGTCAATATGTTCTTCTGTAGGATCTGCTGCCCAGGAGGCCATCAAGATCATCAGCCACCAGTTTGTGCCCTTCAACAACACCTTTATTTATAATGCAATGCTGCAGACCTCTGCAACGTTTCAGTTGTGAATTCCGTCAGCGCACCTCTGCTTGCCAACCGATAAATCTGAGAAAACGATGAAAAGCAGGAACAGACTTTCGTAAATCTGGCTGTAAATAACACTTGTGGGTTTGATAAACATACACGCTCAAACTCAGAAGAACTCCACCTGAGGATTTATTCAGGACATGAGTAAACTATGGGACTTCTTAACCTCTTTTTCCTTCTTTTTTCTTTTTTTTTGCTGTTGTTCAAAACAAATCTGCAAACACTCTCATTTCATAGTTTCATCTGTGATGATGCATTGTAACGTGGTGGCACTTTGCACACATTTTCTTCAAGCTGTCTGTTATTGTGTTTGGAGCTTTGTGAAAGCATGACATGTTTAGCTGCCCCCTGTTGATATAAAGGATTAAACAATGAAAATCTGCTTATTTGCGTGTAAAAACAAGCACATTTCAAGGTTAAGCTGACATTCCAGTTTTTCTGTTTGCTGGTGAGACTTAAGACATCCGAAACAATCGCACAACTGTCTTTATTATTCAAACTAATGCCATATTGTTGCTAATATTGAAGCCTAAAGAGCATCCGTTCTCACCCACATCCTAGTCTGCACAATGGCTGCCCAATGTATCCTGCCAAAATATGGTCACTATGACTTGTTTTACTCGTCTTGACATTTATCAACACGGCGGTACAGTTATCTAACCTAAATAAAGGTTCTGTAACAAACATGTGATTTGCTCGGGAGGCTTGCGGTGTGACTTGCCCCTGAACAGAATCCACGTGACCCAACAGGCAGACTGAGAGTTGAGGACACCAGAGGGCACTGCTTTCTCTTTTACTATCTGTTGAATACTGACCAGCATGAGGACCCTCAGATTCATTCTGCTTTTGAGTAATAAAGGAGGTAAGGAAAAAGAAAAAAAAGCGCTTGGAATGAAAGGCATGATCCAGTATGGTGTTTCTCAGCAATATACGATGAGTTGTATTCATAATGAGTGTCGGTGATGTGATGTGCAGCACAGAATCTTTATTATTGCGATGTAGTCCTAGGCAGGAAGAGGGTTTCTTGTCTTTTTTTTTTCCTCCTCCAGGTTTTGCTGAATGAAAGTGTGACCTCAGCAGACCTCAGTCATGTTTCCCAGCACGCAAAGATGTCACATTTCTTCACACATACTCAACCGGCCACCGCCGTCTGTCTGAGAGGGATCGAGCAGACTGCCAACATGTGCTTTTCCTAATTCAAGAATTTGTCCTCTGCCTCCGACAGATTATCGTGGCTTCATCCATTCCCTGTCTCTTTAGATTGCGTGGCAGTAGCAGTGCCAGGTTTATTGGGGAATATTAGGATGTCATTTTGTCACACTTTGATCCAAAGTCACGAAATGAATCGCCAGAAATCATTTGTTTGAAGGTTTTCTGTCGTTTTTCTGCTTGTCCCCACCAAACACCTAAAAACATGCCACCACGGTCTTTAAATAATATCAACAGTTTAATATGGCGCTACTCTTGGGTGCCTTAATCCCAGCAACAAGTTTTCAGTTTGTTTCCCTGTATCTGCCTCACTGCTAGACCTGAGAACTGTTATGCGTCCTTGTAACCCAACACCCCCACCCTTGTGAGGATGGTTACTGATAAGAGATAACAACGAAACAAACAGGCCAAGGAGACCAAACTGATACCAACTTGCAACCAAACGTGCAACTCCAAAATACACTTTTGTGGCGCCATTTACATGTTAAACACGTCAATAGTTTTAAAGCTGAACCAACAACCTGACAGACACCGCTCTCTGTCATGATAATACATTGTGTTAAATTAGCATGAAGTTGAAAAAAAGAGACATTTATCAAATTTAAATATGAAAATTCATCCTTGTTTTGCTTCTTGGATCTGTGGGAACTTTTATCTTGCCTTGTATAAACATTTAAGTGATCCAAAGTTTAAGAGTGACGCTCATGCTGATATTTAGATTTTACAGAAACATTATCTGTCTGAGTTTAGACAAACAGCTTTACTCAACACAAGTAGCACTCTTGCATTTAAGTGGCTTGTCGAAGTATTGTGTTAACCCTGTGTTAGTTGAAATCAATGAGGCACCTTTTAACAGACTAATCCTCTGTGCTGGCAGGGCTAACAAAACAACCTTAGCAGGTATTTTTCACTCATTTCTGGGACCTGGTGTTTTGATGAACAACTGAAATAACTGAAAAGGTATCGTCATAATACATGTTGGTTATGTTAAACTATCTGGTTTCAGGAAAACACAAAAAGTGGTCCCTGTGGCTTGACACAATGATGCGTCTTCTCGAATAACGTTGTGTCACGTTTCATTTGACAGAGAACTCATGATTTGTTAACATGCGGCAGTTATTATCCACTAAATACAAATGGACCTCAACTAAACACTCACTTTTGTCATGTGACACTGAGTTGGCTCATTCATTTCAAATAAATTATTTTTGCATCCTTGGTTAGGAGTTTTCCTCAATGCACAGAATGATTTTAGCTGAAGTATGTATACCGTTTCTGCCTATTTCTCTTTGCATAGTCAGCCCTGTGGCGGTCACATGACTGTTTGCAAAATATGACCAACTTTTAGTACCATGTTCCTCTTTGGGTCTCAAGACTTCTTGAGTAAGAAACACAGTCTGAAAATGACGTTAGGGCTCTGGATATCGAAAGAATGACGGTATGGACATCAAGCTATTTTGCCATTATGGTGAAACATTAAAAATAAGAGCAAAAGGAATAAAACACAGATGATTTAAAGTAAACAAACTAGATTATAAATGTATTTATGACTGGTCAGACTGTGCCGTGTCTGTTTTGCTAAACTCATCAACTTGTTGGAGCTTTTTGAAAAAGAATATGCAATGGGATGAGCAGGCTGAACCAAATGGGGGGATTTGCATAAATATGGCCAAAAACGTGAGCAAATGATCCCTCTCATAATCCACACAAAGCTGTAGTAGTTCTCTGTAGAAGCATTGAAACAAACAGCCCTTTTATGTCATTGCTAACAAGCTTATCAGAGCATTTAAAATAATGATTTTTGATTTATGGTTGACGGCAGCCATAACTAAATGAAGACATCAGCTCTTGTGCTTGGCTTTAAACTGTGATCTTTAAAGTACAGTAGAGGCCACACAATGCACGTGTGTATATGTGTGTGTGTGTGTGTGTGTGTGTGTGTGTCCAGGGGCAGTTGGAAGCAGAGGGCGGTCGTTAATGCTAAAATCAATCTGTAAATCAGAGCCCATGTCTGCACAAGGGCTACGTTGCCAGCGATGATTTTCGCTGGAAGGTTCTAGCAATAAATGGAAAGAAAGTGGGGGAGGGAATTGGATGAGTCAGCATAGGGAAATGGAGGAAACTGCACCATATAGGTGGCAGATTGATGGTCATATTTTCCCCAAGGACGAGGCTTGT